AAGCTGACACAAACTTCAAGACTCAAAGCATACTGCTCTGCATGTGCGCCGCTCTCGCACATTGACAATCGCCATGTTTCACACAGTTTCCATGGACACAGGAGAACTAAGATCCAACACCAGGCTTTTAGCTCCCTCTCTAATCATACAGTGATCACAGCTACAAGTTTGGAATCGTATATGAAGCGAACCATGCAGAAATATTATGTGTGGGTTTTTTAAATTTTTTTATTTAATCTTTCAAAACGGAACTCTCTGTGTAACTACAGTGATTGTTTTTGGTGGATTATTATTAAATATAAGGATAAAATCTAGGGAGAACAGTGCAGCTGGCCCTGCTGTGTTTATTCCTTATCTATGTCACTCAAATTTACATAGCACCAACTTTAAATTCAAACACTGACAGCACCAATGTCATCCTCATGTGGACTTTCAGCACATGTTTGTCTTTCAGCGTGGGGCCAACAGAGATTAAGCTTGCAGATATTTGCAGTATATAAATGATGCCAGGAGTTGAGATTCATCCCTAATGAAATGCACATGCTGTAAAGTAGTAAATCCAAGGTTGTAATACACCATGTTTTGGATCCATAAATGTGTCATATTACATTTTGGTGGACAGCGAAATAAATAAATATATCAATAAGACACTGTGGGTTTGTCCCTGTCAACCACAAGCCGACCTGTTCGTCCTGAATGAAACTTTAAGATCAGAATTTATGACAAATATTGGCCGCAAGCCCGTCTGACACACTCAAGGTTGTATTTGATGGATGATCACAAACGGTGTTTGCATGCATACAATTTTTTTTTTTTTTTTGTGTTTATGCGCGTGTGTACAGACTGTGTACAGAAATTACACACATTAATCAGATTCTCCCCTCATGCAAACTTCCCATTTTTAAGCTACTCTAGGTTCATTACCAACTTTATGTTATGTTTAAAAAGCAGAGTCTAGTCAGTGCGCGATAGTCCCAATTATCACAAACTACATGTTGTTTGTCAGGGGAAAACTTGGCCTTGCCATGTCTTGCTGAACAGTACAATACCATTATATATTATTCTTCCCACCCTCAGATTCTGTATCTAAAGCCAGTCTCCCTTTCCATCAATTACAAGGTGCCAAAGCAGCAGCAGGGAGGTATTTGCCACTGAGCCTCTAACCTGTCACTCTGGGCACTGACGTCCAATTAATGAGAATTCAGCTGGGGATTTTCTCCCTATAAGAGATTATGGAGAGAGGCAGGAGCCATCACTCTCCTACCTTGGGTGTTCTTCACAAAGAAAGACAGCTATTGTCACAACATGCCTGCCTCAAGCTGCTCTGCTCCACCGCCTGATAAGCAGCTGTTTGATCCTCCTGCATCAGACCGTAGCAGGTGTTTTAATGCAGACATTCAGGCTGTTTCAGACTGTAAGTTTGAAAAAAGAAATTCATGCTTTAATAAATGCTGACCGTGTCTAAGTCACTTCTAAACTACTATTCATTCATTCTGTGTGGAGTCAGTTCAAGATCAATAGGGGCCATAAACAGGGTTTCTCTTTGCTGTTAGCGGGTTTGAGGTTTTATTTCGATTAGAAAAATTGCACATTAACAACAACAATAATAATTTGTTTATGGAGCATTTGTCAAATTCTTTTCAAAGAGCTGTACAAGCAAAAGACCTAACAACATCAAGAATATACCAAACCAAGAGAAGGAAACATCTTAAGTAAAAAAAAAAATCTATGCAAAAAGTTTTTCGTATCTGATTGGGAGAGTATTGATAATGGATGATAATTCAGATGCAAAGGTATAACTGGTGTGGCACTATTACAGACCACAAAACCCCAGGTAATGTACAATACTTTTCAGGGCCACAGCCAATGTTTTTGAAATTCTTGCTGTCTACAATAACTGTCAGCAGCCGAGAACAGTTTACAGTAGCCTATGGTTCATCTGGGCAACTAAAACACTTCATTAAGGAAAAGTCATGGTGGTAGCTTGGCCTCATGTCGCCAAGCTACATACAGTTCACTACTTCCTGAATTGCCACTGAACGTTGACATTGGGTATAAATCGTAACTTACATACGATATGAAATCACCCAATATAAACAAAAATCCAATGCTACACTGATCTTTACCTAACTTTCACTATGTGGGTTTTAGTTTCCTAAACTTTACTAAACATTAACCACAAAGCACGTTTACATCCACCTGTTTTTCTCTGCATTGGAGGAAATACGGGTCTAACAATAAAAGCAAACTATGACAAATTGCTCTGGAAAAAGGTTTCGCAAATTGATCAAATAAATCCCCCAGAAGCTTCTGCTCCACCGAGGAGGCGAAAACCATCGGATCTGTGTGGAGCGTTGAGGAGATGAAATATGAACACCATCTTCCACATAATGTTTTCACGTGCCTTTCTTTCGTTTGATGTTCGATTGACGGTCTTATAATTGTGTCTTCTCTTTGGCAATGGTTTAATGGCACCTGACTGGAGAATTAGCTCCACCACCTTTAAAACTATAGCCACCCAACTCCTAATATTTGGTTAATTAACTCACATTTTTTTTGCCAATTTTCAGCAAATCTGGTTGAATTTTGCACAGGTCAGACAACATATTAATATGAATGGTGCTTGTAAAGGTTACATGGGGTCGTGGCAGCCACAACGGCCGTTCCCAAAGAGATCCGATTCCTGATACGCCTTAAAGTTTATTTTCAGTCTTGAAATCCACTCTAAAATGCGTTGTCTGAACAGGAAGCGATTAATGCTCAGATGACTTTTTTGAGAAAAAAGAAGGTAATGGCTATATGTTGGCTACATTTTCCATATGTCAAACAACACCTCCTAAAAAATGAATTGCACCACAGAAAAAACAGCCAAATTTGTCACATGGACATCTTTAAATGGCAGCAGAATAGACAGGAAGAAGCTTACCATGCCATAAGGTAATCGCTCCCACAATGTAAGACCTGTCTGCAGAGGCATCACAGCTACAGTCTAGACATAGACACGACTCTCTGACAGTCGCAGTCGCTTTAAGGTGTGAAAGGAGGGAGGATATTTCATGTGGTAAACTCTTACAGTACTCTTGGCTGCCTTCCTCTCATCCCTCCTTCCGTTTCCTCCCTCCTCCTCCTCCTTCTTCTTCCCAGACAGTTAAGGATGAGTGTAGTCTAGATGGGGAGTGGGTGGGCGATCAGCGACTGCTTGCCAAGCTGGCAAAAGATTGTGCCAGCCGAGCGTGGAGTATTCCAGCCTCGAGCTGTCCACCCACTCCAGATCCTGTTCTTCTGTGACTAGCCTGCAGCCTTTAGCCGCCTCCTTTCACCCTTTCTTTAGACGCTCACTCTCAGACTCAGGTGTAAAGCCTGATTTCCATACAACTTTTTTTTTTTTTGTTTTAGACTTTTCTCTATTCAGTGTCCATCCACATTAGTTGTGTGTAATGAACCGATGCATTTAATTTGGGCAGCGTCCAGGCGGGGCACCAGGCTTGTTATGGGATTATTATCTTTGCCTTAGTTTGTCTCGCCTCAGGTTGATGAAATGTCAGAAGCTTTACTTATTAGTTGTGCGAATGCTCCGTGGAATCCCCACTCCTTATGACTAAATCTTTTAAGCCCAAGGCGAGACATTTCTCTGCTTTGCTATAACTCCACATGCTTCTTAAATGCCAGAGATAACATGTTATGGAGAAACTTTTTTTTCCCCAATTTAACTTAAAAAATCTTCTTAAATTACAATGAAATAAAAAAATATGGTTTTAATCAGTTTGACTCCTGGCTTTGGGCTTTGTTATTGTCTTCTTCTGAAAGTGGGTTTCCATCAGCTGCTGTAGTCATGTCTGTATGTGTGTGTATGTGTGTGTGTGTGTGTATGTGTGTGTATGTGTGTGTGTTTGTGTGTGTGTGTGAGAGACAGAGAGAGAGAGAGTAAGGGAGAGAAAGAGCTTCATGAGGAACAGGCAGCGCTGATGTGATGAGCATTGACACACAGGGCAGCGCTCCATCCCTGTGTTGGAACATGCCTGGATGCTCAGCGGAGGGATTTTTCGTTTAAATTTCAGCCTGGCTTGTTAATGTGTAAATTACTGCAAAGTCCAAACAGGTCTTGGCTGAAAGAAGAACATCCTCAGAAAATGTGGCAGCTTACAGAGGAGCAACAAGTTAATTATCTTTCTCCCAGTAAAGGGATATCATGTTGTGTTATAATAAGTGCAGTAAGTGTACTTTTACTGACAGCTGTGCACCCTGTGATCTGCTGCTCAAACTGAAAAGATCAGATCACTGACTTCTTTGCCAGTTTGGACTTAAAGCACAACCCCTACATGGATCAGGGAGCTTGCCTCTGCTTCTCCTTTGGATACACAGAATTGTAAGCTGGTTAAGAGCTGTTTAAGTCCCTGTGTTGATTCCCCCGCAGGAAAGAGGAAACTTTCCTCTGGTTAGAGAAGCGCCTGCCCCAGACAGAGTGGGAGGAGATGAAGATGAAAGCAGATCCTCAATGTGTCAATGCATGTTTTCCCAGAGAGGTTTCTATCCCCCGTTTCACTTCTGCCCACACCGATGAAATCAGTGCAATGTGTCAGCAGAGTGGACTGGTTTGAATTTGAAAAGAGATCACGAAGAAAACGGTTTCTTTTTGAGTCACCTGCCAGCATCTAAAGGAGAGAAGTGTACTATCCGTCTCCCTGCCTCTTCCGTCTCCTCTCCCTCATCCCCTGCTCTCTGTGTTTCTCCCTCCCTCACTGCATTTTTCCCAGGCTGAGGCGTCCATGGACCCTCTGGCTCCGCTGCTTTCGTCAGTGAGTTGGAGCGCTCTGAGAACTTTGTGAACTCTCCGTGTTGGAGTGAGAAGGGAGACGAAGAGGGAGCAGTTGATGGGACGCAGCCCGGCAACAGCAGCAGGCTCCTCTGGAGACGGCATCAGGACTCTCAGCTGGAGATAATCCCCCCGGGTCATGACAAGACAGCGCCTCAGCCTCCTAACCCCCCTGGCTCTGCTGGGACTCCTCGTGGGGCTTGCAGACCTCAGCTATGGCTCTCCTGGTGAGGATGAGGATTACTACATGCAGGAGCTGCTGACAAGAGAACAGTACAACCAGGTCCAAATGCTGGAGAAGCCTGTGGCCTCGATACCTGACAGGCATGAGCACCCTGGCCATAACCCTTCCAAGAAAGTGCCCAAGGGGAAGGCAGACAGCAGCAGGCAGACGGATAAAACCACAGCTGATGCAAAATCAGGTAAAAGCATTGCCATCTCTAGGCAGCACAACTTTACAGTTAAGTCTCAAACTTTCTTGTGTATTCAGTCATAAAACTTTCTTTTGGAATTCTCCACACCATCATTACCCAGTGCAATCAATGAGCAATACAGGTTTTTTTGAAATGTTACAACACCTGCATCGAGAGTTTTCGCACAGTAGAGGCAACATTTAAGTTAGAAAACTTCAGTTCTGCTGAAACTTTTGAAATAAAGCACACTTATGAGTCAGTGCTGCCACTAGATGACACACAAGTTTTGAGTGAAGTTTTCAATAAAATAAACATGACAGTATTGTGTGAATAGATAAGAAATGATATTGTTTGGTATTAAGCAGTAAAACAACAGTTACATTAAAAATGAGACATAGTTTTGTTTCGTTTTGCAGCAGTTGATGCTTTTCACATAAAAAGCTGAAATAATTTTTCAGAAGTTGCGCCTTATTATGTCAGAGAGCTACTGTTTAATTACTTTTCCTCAACTAACCTGCCCCAGACACGGTTTGATTAAGTGAAACAGAAAATTTAAGGCACCACATTGAACCTTGCTGTCCTCTGGGACTTCAGAGGAGCAGCTGAATTCAATCCACGTGGTGATGGATGTGCAGAGAAAAAAAAAAGTACACGACAACAACAATGACCTCCTCAGGTAGCCCTCCTCCTCACTCCCCCGTACGCATAGATCTGAGCCGTGTTTCTGTGTGTGTGGCTTCTGCAGAGCAGCGGGATTAACAACCTCACGCACAGCAGAGGTCAGGACTGCATTTCATGTCGGAGCCAGAACACATGTGAAATCCACGTTTTTTCCCAAAAGCAGCAAGACCCAGCAGTGCTGTCCTATTATAGTCCGCGTGAAAATGTCTATGAGACTCTGAGCACATGCAGTAGCAGGTTTGTAGGTAGGTTTAAAATCCTGCCAGGTGATTGGAGGACTAGCAGGCATGAGGGTTTCTGTTGGTTGGTGGCAGATAATTTAGAGCAGCTGCGTCGACAGTGACCTCATGTTTCAGGCATCTGGCTTCACATGTCTGAGCAGGGATACCTGCTGCAGGTGGGACTACAGGAGGAATAGTGAAACAAACAGAAGCCACTGCTTCTTTCCTGCATCACACTGCAGCATATTAACAAAGTAAATTCTTGTTTTTAAGCACCCGAGAAAACTGACTGCAAGGACTTTCAAGTAAAATTATTTACAGCATCGTAGTAAGTTTAATAGAATAAAAAGTGGAGACTCTTAAAGGAGCGATTTGTAAGTTTTGCTATTGCTACATAGCTAGCGTTAGCATTAACAGCTGTTTGCTTACCTGACTAGAAGAAATGTTGCGAGTTCAGCATCAAGCTTGATTCCTTTACTCACCGAGAGCTGTCTCCAGCGGTGGAAAGCAACGCCAAAGTTGACTCTTGTTTCTATCACGTCTTTTCCTCCACTGAAGTTAGCATGCTAACCAGCTCGCCCCTGCCGGTCTCGTCACTGTCCGATAGTGACTCACTGTAGCCTCCAATCTTCCCTGAAGACGTAGCGCTGCTCTGAGGGCGTATTATACCCTTTTGTAAACCCAACGATGGCTGAAGCTCTTGTCAAGTGAAAATCACCAGCCCCCCATCAGTTTAATGATTCAGTGTATTTTTGAAGTTTGAAGCATGTAGACATTCAACTCATCTGAAATCATGAAAATTATGGGTTCAATCCAAACCTTGGAGAAACAAGGCACAGATTTTTCTTTTTTTAAGATTTTTTATTCAATATATTGCATATTATATTTTTTATCATTTCCCTGTAAAACCCTATTTCTCTCTGTTATCTGTGTTATTTTATGGTGAAGAAACTTGTACTTTTACTTTGAAAGATTTTGTCTTTTTATTCTAAAATGTCCACATGTGAGCTGAAAAACCTCACATCTATGCCTTCATACTGGAAGTCTCTCCAATTCTATATGAGCAAATATGAGCAAAAATGTACATTTATTGTGTTATTACTCACTGGCATGAGCACTGTACTACAACAACGTCTGAATGATCATATCTCTGTGCTCTCTAAATCCGCTGCGCTTAACCACATACGCAGCTCGGAGCATTGTGGGGGATTTAACCTGTCCCCAGAATGAGACGCGGATAAAGACTTTCAGATGTGAGAAGGATTGTTATCACGTGGGGCCTATCCTGACCTGACACTCGGTCAAATAAAAAGCACACGCCTCGCTTCCATCTTCATTCCCTGGAATGTGCCCCCCCCCCGCCTCCTCATGCAGGGTATTTTCATGATTGATTTGGACCTTGAGACTGTTAATATTATCAGTGCATTAAAGATCTTAAATGAGAGTGCAAATTAAATTGCGCCATCGTCTCCGCCACTGTGAGCGGGGACATACACTGTAACTGACTGTAAGAGTTAAACACTTTCAAACCCTGTGCCTGGAGATTGTCTCTTGGTTCCGTCCCCAATCCTGAATCCATCCATATGTGCAGGACTGAATCCAGAAAAGCTTTTTTTTTTTTTTCCCTTTTCTGTGTCAACACTATTGCTTTCCTGCTCTATGTTGACAACAGTGAATCAGCAATTTTGAATGTGACTCAAGCTTTTACATTCCCCCTTTAAAAAAAATTCCTGTATTCATGTAATTTTCTTCCTTAGTGAAAACACCCAACAAAAAGGCCGAGAAGAACAAGAAGAGCACCCTGAAGACCCCGAACAGCATCTCAGAGGCAGGACAATACAACCCAACAAAAGAAGGTGAGTCAAAGAACCACTGACACTCTCGTTTGTTGTGCGAAATTCATAATCGGCAAAAAAATTCATCCTCCCTCCTCCGACGTTCAGGGGATGATTTCTCCACTTTCACAGGAGCTGTTAGGATGGGGAAAAAGGAAACCAACTTTCTCAGAGATGACAAATATTTTGGAGAGGCGAAGAGTTTTCGGAAAGCAATTTTTCTTTCTCTTTTTTTTTTTTTTTCCCTCCCTGAGAGGAAAAGTCTGGCAATATAAGATGATGCTCTCAGAAGTGGAGTCAAGCCACAGAGGCACTGATGTCCTCTTTGCCTATGAAGCATTGTGTTTGGTTTCCATGGATCACAGTATATTTGCTAAGCTGAAGCCAAGATGCCCCAGTAGCCTTCCTGTCACGTTGGATGACAGATTAAGTTCGCTTGACTGAAAGCGAGATTTAGGGCAAAGCGCGTGTACTTTGACCTCAGACTTTCCACAGCTCTGAACATGCTGATGTTGCCCATATTATACTTTTTTCTTCTTTTTGCACAGTGTGAGACATTTAGCAGAACGGGAAGCTGTATTTAATAATGCTGGGAGGTTAAGATTGGGCGTGGAGACCAATGGAGAATTGATGTGTTTATGTTGAAACTATTGTAAGGAACCTACCGAGGCAGACAGAGAGGCTGCCATCTTTAATTTGCCTCTAGGGGAATGGGAGCAGAAAGTTGGATATTATTGCATGTAGGAAACTGGGAACTCAACGCCGACATGCCTGGCACAAAGAAGCCCACGCAGTTGAGATCTGGACAGCCCAGACTCCCGAAAATCCTGTTTTCATGGTTTGAAACTGTGACTCAACACCAATCTGTTTTCCGAATTCGTTCCAGCGTCTCCTGGTAGCAGCTGATTTATCAGGGTCACACGATTCACACACTTTCTATACATCAAGAGCTCTATTACTCAGCTTAGGAAATTGTTTAGCCTTGAAAATTGTAATTATTTGGCCATTGTTGAAGGTGTAGCAAAGCCTCAGTGGCTGCCACATCCACACATACCAAAACAATAGGGAATTCATTAAACAGGGTTCTAAGACGAGCAGTGATTTTCAAAGTCTGATTCAGCGGATGTTTCAGCAGCTCATTCATTATTCCCATCAGTCGTCAGAGAAACGTGTTGAAACAAGATGTTTCTGCCGAGATATGACAGTTTATCACATGTACAGTCAAGCTACAAAGGCTGAGGTTGACAAAATGCTATTGAGGGTTTTTTGAAATATTGGTCTGTTGAAAAGTCAAAATTGCATCAAGGGTTGCTGTGCAGCTGTCTGATGATTTGTATTATGATTTATCCCTCAAAGTAAGATTGTGTAACTTTGGAAAAAAAAAAAACACAAAAAAAACGAATGAAAAGCTGAATTCATGATCAATAAAACGCTCAATCAAACACATTCAGGAAAATTGCTATTACAGCTTATAGTGGCAAATCTCAGCTCCTGTTTCGATTGTTCCAAGTGTATCAGTTAAAAACGGGTCAAGAGCTCTTCGTGTGGGAGCTTACGGTACATAAACATTGTAACATGAATTAATTACACTCCACCAGATGTGAAATAAGAACTTGTGATACATAACCTGACTAAACTTTGATCCCGGAATTGGTTTTGGCTTTTAGCAGCAGCATATGAAGCCTTGACTGTGTGTTTTGTCATTTCTATTATACATTATTGTTGAATCCAGATGCTGTGTTCCTGTGTGGGTCCTCTCGTGAAGGATTGCATACAGATGGTGATAATGATTTAGGGCTTTGCAACATGGCGGACGCCCATCTTTTTTTTTTTTTGTCCTGCTAACCTTGATCCTTTGGGCTGCTTCGAGGGCCGGGTTGTCCCTAATATGTTGTGATCGTTCCATTCAGAAAGCCCGTGGACTTACAGTATGTGTCTGATTCCAAAAGGATTTTAAATATAGACATAAAGGGTCACAAGTGGAGCAACACATGTTTTATTGCTGTATAGAGTTACTGTAGATACTGCTCTTACTGGTCCTACCACTGTCTTTGCTTCTGGCTTGTTAATCAACTTTTTACACCCGAGTTTTACAGCGGCAGCTAATTTGGTCTCAAGCTATGTTTTCTTTATGCACCAAACATAAATTCCCTCATGCGCGTGTGGATTTTGGAAGCTGATCTTCTTTGTCTGTGGCTTCTCTAAAAAATCACAGTGCATGTGATTGACGATTGACTTCAGTGGCTCAGACATATCAGGCTGATGGAAGAGTTATAAAACGCAAAGCCAGCTTCCTCTACGGACATAAATATTTACATTACTGCCAACTTCACATGCATGTATATATATATATACTGTAATAGAAAATGTCCAGTATCTGGACTGCTACTGCTACTATCTACAGTATTCTTGAGGAAAATTCCTTTGTCCTCTTTGTGCCTGTTTCACCTCTGAGTGTTCATTGTGAAGCCAGTCCTGGCTGTGTGACAGCGACATGTGAAGCATATGTTCAAACAGACCGGTGCCCAATCGGAAATTCTTGCTCTGAAATTCCGTTGCTGTGGTCCAGGGAAGTCTGCAAACCACTCCATCTGACCCAAAGAGCCACTGGGCAACGGGAACTTCACACGTCAGCCTTGATTTGTCCATTTGGCCCTCGCTGGGCGATATTCATTGTGGTGTAAACGATGAGCCAATCTCACACAAAGAGCTCTATTTAGTGACCACCATCTCAGTTACTGCAGTCACTTAAAGGCAGGCATTTGTTCAAATGAACTGCAAACTCCCTCCAGCAGCAAATTAAAACATTCTTAAGTGATGTGCAGCCTTCTCTTTTTAAAACTGTGTTTTTCCAAAATAAAGGCAGGAATGCCTCAAATACAGCCGCCTGCCTGACAGACCACTGCTGTGGCGTCAGTGGCTGCAACAGGATAATTGGCACGCTCATGGAGTTAATTACAGTATGATTATTCATATTGATGAATGCTAATTGCCATCATCAGTACCGCCAGTAAAGATATGAGCCATGGGACTCATTGCATTGATCGATCAGGCTCTTTTAGAGACCTGCACTGTGCTTTATCATCATCTACAGATATGAATTTATGATTTAGGATTAAAATTCAATTCTAAAACAATAAGTTTAAATAATTCAATTTAACAACAGTTTTGTAAGACTGTTTGAACGTGGCAACAAAAGACAAATCACACAGTGGATATTTAAAATCTTTCAAAAAAATAGATGAGGAAAGCAAGTCTGAAAAAATGAAATGACATATCCCATGACAAGATGAGTGGTGTTTGCATTGTGGCATTTCTGCACGACTAAGCATGAGGCCACACAACATGCCTAGAGCAAGACATCAAGGTCACACAAACACACAGACACACACACACACACACACACACACACACACACTGCAGTCTGAATCACAGCTCCCAGTCATCCCATACAGTGACTACTGCCTCCGCTTTAGGTGTCCCCAGCTAACTCCACATCACAATAACTTCACACACATCACAGTCAGTTTACTAGTAATGGGGAGTACCACTGAGTCAGTAGAAGCAGGTCTGAGGCTGTGTCTGTATCTGGCACTACATTTACCCTCGCCCCTTTTTATTTGGGTGTCTGACTTCTGAACATGAAATTCATCCACTGCATAATCCCACTTTGCAATGCACCACATTTTATACAGTAGATGCAACCCACTGCTGCACAACTCAGCAGCTGACGACATAAAACGATGATGATGATGATGATGATGATAAGTCAGAAATCTCACTTCACTTCTCACTATTTAGTGTCTATTCCAAAGGGAGTGGTGAGTGAGTGAGTGGATGAGGGAATGATTTTGGACACAGCCCGAGTCAAGTCTGAGAAAATAACCCTGTAACCCAGATGAGGTCACAGTGATGTCATCAAGGTTATTTCAGTTTGGGCTTGGACACTTTAAAACACAGAAAGCCTTGTTATAGCAGGAGACGTGGACTTAGGACACTGGCGTTTATAGCAGTGAGGGTCAAACAAGAAGACGTGATTAGGTTGCATCATGGGAACAGTTGAATCCACAGCTCTTGGAGCTTGACCCTCAGCAGAAACTAAAGGTCAGGATTTTTCTGCCTCTGCTCTAATCTGTCTGTACGCCAACCATATGGGAGTTGCTGTGAGACTCTGCAGGAGCCGTAGGTAGTTTGTTTTAGATATCTTACAGGAATTTGTGCAAAAACTTGAAGGATCACACCACTTTTTTTTATGATTTTGACCTGTTTGTCACTTTATCTGTTGCTATGACTGGCACCAAAACTCTCTTAGTCCAACAGTGCACAGCAGTGTTTGAGCATACAGTGAGCTGTGTTAAGTAAATGTATGGTGATGTATGAGAATTAACCTTCTGTTAATTTAATCCAATCCTTATTTATTCATTCTACAGCCTGTGGATTACTGTGAAAAACAAAATCTAACTCTCATCATCCGTGAAAGTCCATTATCCAATAACGGCTGAAAATCATAACAATCACTTCCTGACATTGAAAGAGTTTCCTCTCATTTTATGGTTTAATCAAAACCTTTGAAAATACAAGTTTTGTGTCCGCAGCTGCTGCAATGTCCCATTTTCTCTCTTTCAATATAATCATATTGCTCCAGTCATTTTTAAACTATTTAATCATGTATTCAGGGTGCAGTTAGATGGCTGTGATAGGTGTGCATTGCAAAATTACCCCAAAAAAAAGGAAAAAAAGGGGGAAGCTTTCATAGTGTACAGTCATTAATCACCCATGAAGCTTGACACGTTTTGAAATTCACAGCAGTTGAAACATCAAAGTCTCCGTCACGCTGTTAAAACTCCATTTCATTCATTCAGGCTTCTTCCTTTTGTTGTTTGATTTTCCAGGTTTTTTAGAGAATGGGTTGTTTATACGCAGCATTGTGTGCACATGCGGTTCAGTTTTTGTTGTGTGTGTGTGCACGTGTGTATGCGTGTGTGTGTGCGCGTGTGTGTGTTGTCGAGAGGCAGAACAAAGAGACATCAACACAGATAATGGCCGCTATGATAGCAATCGCATTCAGCTTTAATTTGGGCGTTTCACATTATTAGATGAAGCTGTTCACTGCTCACTATGTGTTGACTGCATTAGCCTTTCTCAACAGAGCTTGTATTATTAGCTCTCCTCAGTTGCAAACAGACTGCAGCTGCTGTCTTGTTTGCTTCACACATTTGAGCTCAAGTCCAAATTGCTCATTACTGTTGAGTCATTTTTGTCAAGCTATTAACGAACGCATGCATGGGCCCCTGACTCAGGTGCTGTGCAGAAAGCAACGCTCCTGTAGCGAAGCAACACATGATACATAACATTACCATCACATGCCAATTTATCATTCTCATCACCCAGAATGCCCTCCTATGGGATTGGAGACGCTGAAGATTGATGATTTCCAGCTTCATGCTTCAACTACGAAACGCTACGGCCTTGGTGCACACAGAGGTCGTCTTAACATTCAGGTAAGACGGGAATATAAAGTGTTGGCGTAGCTTGAGTAAGCTTACCAGAAGTATTGGGGCTCACGTTACACCCTGGCCAATCTCACCTTTCCTTGGATGCCTTCATGTTTGGTGGAATCATTTTCCAGCAGCAATACAAAAAAAATACGGCTGGGAGACGGTATCTTTTCATTTTGATATCTGTTTAAGTTCATATTAATGCTCCTTGGAAAGATGTCTGCTGTGATAAGTTGCTTCTCCTCAGTTAAATGTGGATGACATTATCATTCTATTTCAGCTCACAGCATATTTTTAATACTTCAAAGCTAACCCAACATAGAAAGTAATAGTGTTGCCATCAATACCAGGGGCAAGTCCCCAAACCTAATAAAAAAGGACTGGCATCTGGGAGAAGAGGTATTTCCTGTTAGTGCAAGCTGTGCTTTGAGGGTATTAGCCTGCGTACAGTCTGCAGCGAGCCTCATCCTCTGCAGGCTGCGCCGCGCCGAATCCAACGGCACAATTAATGAAACATACACACACATGCTGTTAATTCACTCAAGACAGCGGGGGCACTATGTTTCAGGAAACCAGCAAAACAAAGGATTTATTGTTTGCTGCGCGTGCACCCCTGTGCATGTATGTGTGCACGTCGGGAATCGTGGCGGGACAGAGATAGTGTCCATTCTAGAGCACAATTATCTGTAAATCAGGAGAAACACATCAAAAGCAGATGTTGCCTGTTGAATCGGGCCTGTGGCCAGTGGACTTGGTTTATTTCCACTTTTGTAGCTGCGACAGTTTGTTTAGGTTCCAGACACCAACAGTACTGGGATGAATTTAACTTGCTCTTGATATTGAGAGACACACACCAACAGGCACAACTGAAAAATTACTGAGATAGCACATATCCTGTAAAATTGTAATAAGTGCAAAAGAAATGTTGATGAAAGAAAGCTACCCTGCAGCAAAATACATATAGCAATAGACAATTATGGTATACATGTGCCAGATTTTTTTCATTCAAGCAAGTAGTTCATGGAAGCTCCTGGATCTGCACCTGGATGTGGATTGGCGTCAAAATGTAATCACTTGTTCCGTGGCCAAACCTTCATTCATATTTCACTGAAATCTGTTACAGACGTTCTGCTACAGTAACTACCAGACAAACAGAACATTAAACTAAACCTATCATTTGCAACTCTCGTCCATTTTCAACAACAAACTTAGTTTATGCATTTTGGCTTTAGGAATGTGGTGCACTTACGTCTGGAACGTGCGTCTCCTTGCTGCACGTTAATGAAAAAGTAAAGGATTGTTCACGTGACTTTTTTTTGTTTGTTTTCCCATTTCGAACCCGCATTCCGACACAAAGTCGGATCAGCCAATCAGCTTCTTTGACAACAGGAAGATGTGTGTCGGGCTTCTCTAACAGGCCTTTGCCACCTATGAGGAGTTGACGGGGATCTTTGCAGGAATATGACATTTGCATTCATTCAAAAAATTCTCAATAATCCAAAATTTACTTCATTTACTTTTCAGGATAAAGATTTTTAAATTCATTTCTACAAGACACAACACATAGGGCCACATTCATTGGAGGAGAGCTTCAGTCAACACCAAACACATTTAAAATGAATGAAACATAATACAGTGATGTTGAATATTAACCAAATATAGATCACAAAACCTCAAATGTGTCAGGGCATCAGTAAGTAGTGATATTAGATTTACATAATAAATTACCTTTAACTCATCTTTGAAGTGAGAATATGTAAATGGAGACGTGTTACATCCCATTCGTCCGTTTTCTTACGATTCTGTGTTTAGGCATAACGAGAAAGGCCTACTTCAAAGTGACTCGGCAGTTATGATAAAGAGGCAGCGATATTATAGACTCAGCATGTACAGAACTGTGTGTCAACACAATGTTTAAGTTCGGATGAAGTAGATGAACAATGTGGCCTGTCAGCATACAGCATGTGCGTGACGGTTCGCACCATCTCGCTCTGAGCCAACATTGTCAACTGGTGCAGCACAAGGCTTTACGGATGGAGAAGCATTTTAATGCATTATAATTAGTTTAACATTTTCAGCTGTTGAACCGAGCTAGCGAGCGTTAAGAAAACGTGTCCTCACGTTACATCAGTGACACGTCACAGCGCTAAAACTGTTGCAGAAAATTCAGGAATGCTGGGGTTTGGGAAAGAGGCAGCCCTGTCTCACAGATGTGTCCGGAGTTCATTTTCTGTAAGTCAGCTTCACCGGCCTTGTTTTGCCCTTGTTATCTCCCTCTAGCCCAGTATGAGTTGTGTAGGCTGCACCTGTTTTATACAGACCATATACTGTCTTCATCATGGTAGAAAACACATTTATCAGGCCTGGCTGATTCTCATCTAGACAGCATAGTTTAGATTGTCACAGGATCAGATTGAAACATCTCAGCCTTGTTGAGTTTTGCACACGTCACCCTCTCCACTGTCAACACTTGAATAATAAGCTTTCATAAATTTTTAAGAAAGCCAAGTAGAGCCTGTCAGTACAGTGCTCTGTACCATGCATAGACTGTGTGTGTGTGTGTGTGTGTGTGTGTGTGTGTGTGTGTGTGTGTGTGTGAGTCAACATGTACATCTGGAATAAAACTGTGCTCCACGCGGCTGTTTCTGGCCTGCAGGCAGGCCTTTATGAAGATGACCTCTATGACGGGGCCTGGTGCGCGGGGAGAGATGACCCGCTCCAGTGGTTCGAGGTGGATGCCAGGAGGCTGACAAAGTTCACAGGGGTCATCACACAAGGCAGGAGCTCCCTCTGGTCGTGAGTAGGAACCCTGCAGACATGCATGGAGAGTTGCAGATGGTCGCACAGTGAGGATGGGGATTTTCTTGTTGTCCAAGCTGACTTGAAAGGATAATTGTGGGGGGTGGGGTTTCGTGCCAGTTTTCCTAAGTTGCTTCAAATCCCGGTGATGTCTGTCTTGAAGTTGTTTTAAATCATTTCATTTTTGTAGAACACGAAAAGCAATTTCCACAGAGCCAGATAATCCAAGATATTTAATATGAATCTTCTCTTAAGCTTTGTCATGTTTTTGTTTGCAAAAGTTGGTCAGGGCAGGCATCGTGCTCCACATTATTCACTCAACTTATCTCAGACCAACACTATAGTCCATATAAGAGCAGGATGGAAGAAAGATAAAATATGAATGGAAAATATGCAAAATAGATTATTATTATTTAGATTTTTATCTTATGCATTGTGTCTGACTAATCACCTTCAGTTTACAAAGATAAATTGAACTCCCCTCATGGAAATAGACTGTCTGGCTGGCCGACTGTCATTTTATTGGTAACATACTTAGATTAGCAGTTAATCTTGTCAAGTTTGTAGGATTCATCCTCTGGGAGGTATGACTGTTGATACAAAATTTCATGGCAATCCATCCAATATTTGCTGAGATAAAGTCAGTCCAGATCAAAGTTGTGGCCAAAGTGACAGACCAAATTTGCTGTCCATAGAGCCGTACCACTACAACCACTTGGCTAATGTCAGCCCAAAAACACGTACATGGCCAAATTAAATATGGCATGAGTTTCAAAATGACTATGGGAAATGAAAACTGGAAGTAGACCGTCAGCAATAATTGCTCCAAAGCTCCAAATGTCTCTTAGATTTTCCTTTAAACCCAAGTGGAAAATTTGACTTTCACAAATATAAACAAAACAAGCTTTTCAATCTCATTCCACATGGCGCCGATCCTTCACTGGTGTTTGCCCTTTTCACAAGTCTTTTCTGATCCCCTCACTGTGGGATTGAGGATTTATTGATTGGAGTGCAGCCTCATTCTTTCATGTCTCTTAAAAGGTCACCACATTATAAAAATAACACTGGAGGAAATAGATTTTACTGGACTGTAAGCTGGTTCATCACACTCAGATGAAGGGTAAAAAAAGGGGGGGGTATAACAAGTAGGGATTATTTATGACTTTAATTATATACATATACTTTCTTTAACATATACTCTAAATTTGGAAATCACCTACTCACCTCTGTCGCCTCAGTTACTATACTAGAGTGTAAATTATTTTGTACAGTTTTTAAGGTAAAGATAAAATATGTAGACTCATGCATAATTGTAGAGTAGCACTCTTTCTGACTCTGGGTCAGTTTTCACCTAGCTCCTATAGGTCGTATCAGCAATAAATGTGTGATAGATCGTTCAGGTTGAAGGAAAACAATAATAACACTGGGTCAAAACATCCATTGTCTCGGGTTTGGTTTGGTTTACTGCCCACTATCCACTGAACAAAGTTAACCCGGTGTTATGTTGACGCTAGATTGAATTTGTGTCAATTCTGACCCTTTATGCTCACATGCGCACAGAAAACACATGCTGTACAGTACATAGCTGAGCTCTTCATGAGCTCTTCAGAAATCCACTCGAGGCTCACAAAGGATTAGGTGTGTGTGTGTTTTGTTATGGAGTAACGTACCTGTTGTCATAGTGCTTCACCTTGAATTATACAGCCCCACACTTTTCAACAAGACTGGATTCTCCATTATGCATCTGTAGACCTGGCTGTATAAGCTCCTATTGTGTCAGGGAACAATACAGTAAACTCATCCTCACTGTACAGGCGTGTGGTCTAAATTGAAGTAATAGGTTTGAGGTAATATTTTGAATAAGGACTGCTGACTGAGGTTTTAAAGGTTAGGAGTAATAGATTTAATCATATTCATATTTACCTTTACTTTCAAAATCAGTAATAATCCATTAATAACAACAGCTTAAGGGTTGCCAGGTTGTACCATATGCATGTGGCTGGGGACATGATGGCTTTTACAGACCAAAATATGGTATTAAGTTAGTTCTCAGTTCTGCTGTTATATGTCAGTAAATGATTAATGAAAGGTTCTTCCACTACAATAATGAATTTTGATGCTATGCAAAATATTCATTATAGGGGTTAAAAAATGTGTAAAGTAAATAGTTAAATGCTGGACCAACGTACAACAACATAGTGTTGAACTGAAGAGAAAGGCTGTACTTACATTTAAGTCGGTCTTCTCTTCATAAAAGAAAAAAAAAACGAACAACTGCTTCTGTTCACAGTTTCCCGCACCATCTACCTACTCTGACTTTGCTCTGTAATAATATTTGACAACTTTTGGCCTTTGTGCTTCTTAATTGGGAAGGGTGGCATAGACTTCTGGAAACTGCTGCGTAGCTGGAGAGCATGGGGAGATACTCTATCAGGCTGTGTTTGTAATTTTCCTTCACGGCCAGCACGATCTAAGGGCACAAGAAGACATTGATTCCTGAGACAGAATTTCTCCTCAATTAGCTCTGTAGGGCATGTAGCTGTCTGTGGTGCCAGCTCAGGGGCTTCTGTCTATAACAGCGCTTTAATTAGCAGAACTGGGAATTCTTGCCAAGCTGTACCAGCTCAGCACTGATGTCTTTATCCAAAAGCATTGGAGCCACTGCCAGCCTACATACTGCACACTCCGGGCAGAGCTCTGCCTGGTATGATGGGACATTAAGTCATCAGTGAACTCCTCTTGCAGACAGACATAAAAAAAGAGACACTGTAGTGTTTTGATTTTTCACCCCCTTGTGCTCTACATATGCTACTTCTATTGGACCGTACCAGTGTGCTTGTAAGTTGTAGCTCCTTGACTGCAACGCCTGTGTGCTTTACATTTGTATTGACCATGTTCAAATGCATGCTGTACTTCTGGACAACCATGCCTTTCCATTTACCTCCATTCATTATTGATTTTTGTTAAAGTTACATTATTGTTGCCAGGGCCATAGCCTGGATTTTAGAAAACCCAAGTCAAAGCCTGACTATGTGGATTTTTAAATTTGGTTCATTCACTTATATATATATCAGACTAAAGTTTCCTGAATTTCTGAATCGAAACTCCACCCAGTTAAGATGAAAATCATCTCTCACTTTTGATCAGATGCCAAAACTTTAAATAATAAAAGACACAAGTGACACTTCTAATATAAATTCTTTGACCTCCTCTCCAATTTTCCCACTTTTAAAATGGACTTCCACCCTGTGAGATTTAAGCGCGGCTGGACGTGTGCTGAGCGACTTCCTCGCCGTCACCTCAGTGCTGCATTTGCATTGAATTCAGCCTGACAGGATATTTCTTTTCCTCCTCTCATAACAGAAGTGACTGGGTGACCTCGTACAAGGTCATGGTGAGCAACGACAGCCACACCTGGATCACTCTGAAGAACGGCTCAAGGGACTTGGTGAGTAACAATCATGACATTTAAAAACGCACATTTCCCAACATCTACAAAGTAAAGCTTTTGAGCTCGAGCGTTATTATTCTTCCTCACTGTATAGTAGCTTCATAAGGAGTCTTGTTTTGTCTGTCCCTGACTGACTGGAAGCAGACAGAAAAATTAATTCTTGCTTGAGAGCAATTACACAGGGAGCTTTGGGTCTCTGCTTATTTCCAAGCTTAATGAGCTGAGAGGGAATAGTAAATACTGATGATCCTCAAGCAGATGGGGACCTCATCTTGCCTCTCTTTTCTACTTGAAGTAACTGAATAGACAGAAACCAAACACAGCAATACCCTGACAACAAACTACAGCAACTAATCGCTGATGCATCGGATGTAAAATAACAATCACATAAATAATCCCATTATCAGTGAACATGCAGATCTGATTAAGTTGATACTTTTGAGTAGAATCATATCTCCGTTGCTCCCTGCTGTGGTTCACATCCCCACAAATGAAATTTTGGTGTAACTGTAAGCTCCCTTGGCTGGTGATGTCATAGATGTGGGAGATAATGCCTCTACATTGATTTAGTCTCCGATACAAGCTTCCCGCTCACCAGCTCGCCCTCCCTTTGCGCAAAATGCCAAACTGCACTGCTTGTCTTTCAAAAATGCCAAAAGGTGCAGAGAAGAAGTCCGACTGTGGACGTTAAAATTTACAATAAACTCCCAGGGATATCAACTTATTCTATTTCCAAAAGCAAACATACATACAGTGCATTCAACTTTAAAGATAAAGTTGAATGTATGTTTTATTTATTTATGCCTTTTAATATCTAGGACAATTAATGACAATTAGCAATGTAGGCTACATTTGGCCCATTTACAGCTGTTGATCGAAAGCCATCACCTTCTGAGAAATAAACTAATAAATGAAATGAAAAATCCTGTTCTTCAGTGTTAAATCACCATCGGGCTGACTGTGTTTGCCTCAGTAGATCTTCAGTGCCAACAGGGAGAAGGAGATCCCAGTCCGGAACATCTTCCCAGCGCCGGTGGTCGCCCGATACATCCGAGTCAACCCTCGCTCTTGGTTCCACAGCGGCAGCATCTGCATGCGAGTGGAGATCCTTGGCTGTCCTATGCCAGGTGACGGGTTTGTATGGACAAAGCAGGCACATGAATAATTCCAAATGAATGAATGAAAAAAAAATGAAGCAGGCTTATTTATTTGAATGAGGCAACTACATCAATACAGTGGGGTTGCTGAGGGCAAAAAAATACAGAAAAGAATCTGGTTCAGCTTTTGCCACAGAGCAATGAAAAGTCATCTGGCAAGGCCTTGTGTTGGCCAATGAAATACACTGAAGCTCAGGTAGATTAACTTGACATCGATGTGACGAAATGTTAAATGATCATCCCAAAAATCTTCTAAATTAAACGACAACATAGTATGTTGATCAGTGCTCTCAAGAACGTTGCTGGTTGCGTGGTTTGAGTTAAAATAATAACTTTGTTATGGTTAGGAGACCTTTGTTGTCATGGTAACAATAATAAATAGTTACAGTCGGAGAAAGACTGCAGTCATGGTTAAAAAAAAAAAAAAAAAAACAACAACAAAAAAACAGTGTTGACTGCTGAGGAAACTGTAAATGAACAGCTGCTTCCTGTGTTAAAATCTTAGGTTGTGTTGATCCATCCACCCTAACCTATGTAGACTGTGTCAGATTATTTACTTTCCTGTTTCATAGTATTATAAACTGCTGTGCCATGTTTTGGCTCTGGACCTCTTGGATTTCAGTGACTCACCAGTGCCTGAAGCCACACGCCCCCGCCAACAAAGCCACTTGCATTTTTTTTTTTTTTTTTTTAACTGCAGGGCTGTTTTCAGTCTGAAAGCCATGTGACCCTTATAAAAAGCATACCTTTTTAATTGACTTGAATGTTTGTATTGGTTAAAGGGACAGTTCACCCTAAACACAAGCCTACCCCTCAGGTTTTCCTACTTACCTCTGTATCAAACCATGCAGTTTTGATTTTATGTCCTGCAGGTTTTGAAACAGTTTTCACTAAAACATTTTCTTCTGAAAAAATAGTCTCAATGAAAACTCGGCACAGGAACGTCTGTCGAGATTATCCACAGTAACTGGGACATTGTTTCTATAAAGCCAGGTTGCTGTTGAGTTATTAATGTGTAACTTTTGAGCGCTGGGAGCACAGCACATTAAATTAAATTTCACGTCCTTTGTGTTGGGATGCCGACAGAAACCTCAAAGGCACTTATCTCGAAACCTTGGCACAAAATACCAGAACTTTCTGGAAGGCTAGACACCACTATAAACAATAGAGAAAATATGTTTCTTAGTAATATGGCTGAACATGAGGAAAGAGAGCAGATGCTCAGCTTTTATAGTCTTTACACACCTGGTGTGACTGATCATTCCTTTCCTTAGATATCATTATAAATAAAGTAATATACAAATAAAGCCTTCTTTAATTTCTGAATATCAATAACTGAATGTTCTCTGATTCCCTGCAGATCCAAATAATTATTATCACAGACGCAATGAAGTCATCACGACAGACGACTTGGACTTCAGACACCACAGCTACAAAGAGATGAGACAGGTGAGTCACAGCGAACAGGAAACAACAGCCTACTTATTTCTTATTCAGCAAAGGGACCAGAGCATGGAGCAATAAAACATCCTGCGTAACTGTGAGCCAACACCAGACAAGTTGTGTCCTTTTGCAAGAACAAAGTGTGCAACAGCAACAAATGAACCCTGCGCTGCCAGCCACATGAAAATGCATACAGCATCTCCTCGGTTGTGTCATTACTTATTCATATAGTTGTCATGAACAGTAGCCCGTTTGTACCGACAAGGAGGACAGCTGTATTTGTCACTGTGTACCCTGTGACTGAGTGATTGTGAAGGTACAAGTGCTGTGAATCGTAATCGTCTCTAATGTAGCGGCCCTCCTGTGCCAAACAGTCTGCTACTGGTGTCCTAACCTGCTGTTATGACCCACAATGAGACTTAGTCCAATTAACGCGGGCTCTGTATAGCTCATTGTAGCACAACGACCCTCTTTTCTAGCCCAGCCACAAAAAAATGAACAATTAAAAAGACTTGTCTTCTCTTTCAATTTTTTTTTTTTTGTTACCTTTGAGGCTAATGTGTGTCGCACTGGGTGTCCAGCCTCTATAGACCTTCACAAAGAAAGGAAGGACTATTTTTAAAACTCAGCTTCTACAGCCTTTTCACCCTTGACATTTCTTTTCTCCATGCAGGTACCTTGGTACCATATCTCCCTCTTGTCCACGGCACTTTAAATAGTGCTGTGAAAGGACCTCAGAGTGGAAATAGGCCATTGTGACTTTTCAAATAAAGTACATACCCCATGAGAGGAGTGAAAAAGATATCTCTTAAGGACTGTCCTTTCCCAGATCACGAACTGACTGTAATGTAGTAGCCCTGGGACTACTGATATTGCCAGAGCGTGGACAGTAGAAAACCATTTTAAAGGAGGTGGAAAGAAAGAACATTTTCCATATTCTTCAAAGAGGAGGATGGCACATTCCCTGGCCATTATCGTGGCACATCCCAGCCAAGGAGCCTCATTTGATGACAGCATTAGCCTAAGTATATAGTTGCTATAAGCAGATTTAAACACCGTCAGCACCATTCAGTTTTATCATAAGGAAAAATAAACACTCACTGGGTTGTGTACTGTTAAAAGACCTTTAAAACAGAATGTTCTATATTGATTCCGCTAACTACGACCCAGGTATGTTTACCAAGGGGATTCTGTGTCTTATTAAACTAGATGTAATCTTGTGTTTAATGAACAAAAGCAGATGTTTGTGTACTTGGTTAGAATAGTCAAGATTCAACCCAGACTTAATTAAAACCCCATCCCTCCAGACTGGTTAATTTCTTCGGCAGCAGCTGGAAGAGTGAGTAAACACAGCTTTCTGACATTAATGCAGTCGCTCTACTTAACAGCTTGTTAGTCTTTTTCCTTGCTGCACTTCTTTGTGTCTTCACTCATGCCCATATGGGTAAATGATAGTCACTGCTATTTTAATCAGCTCCTCTATGAGCCTGTCTTCATAATTACCTTGACTGCTTCTCACACAGCCTCCCTCACTTGCTAGAGTGATATTAAATAGGGTCTGTGTCACAGCACTGGTGATATTGCTTTTGAAATTTCTAATAACATGGAGATTATTTTGTACTATTGTGAGGCTTCAAATACCCAGAATTTAGAGTAGAAACACCTTAAGCCTCTGAAAATTTAAGGTATTTCTTTATAGAATATTCAAGACGAAATAAGAAACAAAGTAAAAAAATATACCTATTTGTTTAAATGTTTTCACTCAGAAACTAAGCTTTTCAGCTTCATCAGGATTGTGATATGTGCTCTCATGATTATATCTGATTAAATGAATTAGATAATGATCTCATCCATCTTTTAGCTCATCCACAAGCAACTAATTTGAACAAATTTACCATCTATACTTTGAACTTGACAGTTTATCCTCTACCTTGAAAACACAAAACAGTCTCAACTCAAGGTTAACTTACTCGCTTGTCCTGGAGCTTTCAGCGGATGGAGTTTGCTCATTTGTCATTGAACAGTAGATATTCAAACTTTACATTATTGTGAGCACTTTTATGACTTCTTGCCCATATTGTGGCAACTTCATCGACTGATGAAGTCCATGAAATATGGTAGAAAGTTCCAGAACAAGTAAAAATAAGTTATTTGGCACAATTTCCTGTTTTCTATGAGCTTATTATGGTTTCTTTGTGTAAGATCATTTGTTTGTGAAGTAACTAGAAACCAGACCTACAAGAAATGTAGTTACACACTATATTTCACATGTTGCGGAGAAGAAGCTGCATAACATGAAAATATCTCAAAATTGTTTTTCTTAATGTTTGAATAAATTTGATGTTATTGTGTAAAAGATATTTTAGGTAAGATTTTATATGATCTATTAAGAGCTGATGCCTCATTATTTACGCTCCACAGCTTATGAAGGTGGTAAATGAGATGTGCCCCAACATCACCCGGATCTATAACATAGGAAAGAGCCACAGCGGCCTCAAGCTGTATGCGATAGAGATTTCTGACAACCCGGGAGAGCATGAAGTTGGTGAGTGTATTTAAGGCAACAGCGAGTTTTGATGCAACAGGACGTGATTGCTCAATTTAATGTACAATAATAACAACATCAGAGACATCACACTGTGTTCCTCGGAGTGTTTTTCTCTGTGTGGCTGCACATGTAGTCACAGTGATTGCATATTTAATCTTCCTCTTTCTTTTCCCCCAATCTCTCCCTTTGTATGAACCTGTTGACCAGGTGAACCAGAGTTTCGTTACACAGCAGGTTCCCATGGTAACGAGGTGCTGGGACGGGAGCTACTCCTCCTGCTGATGCAGTTCATGTGTCTTGAGTATCTATCTGGCAACCAGAGGATACGTCATCTGGTTGAGGAGACCAGAATCCATCTATTGCCATCTGTCAACCCCGATGGGTACGAGAAAGCCTTTGAAGTGGTAGGTCTGCAAGACGGCCATTAGTGACCTCATATCACGCACTGGCCTCTGGTGAAAACAGCACCATATCTGCTTGGCAGGTCTTCTCTCAATAAGAGCACATGTGGTGCAGGTGCATGCTAGAAAATTGGTTTGAATGAACAGGTTGAATATATAAAATGAACAGTGCCCTGATGAACCATACAGTGAGGTCCAAAAGTCTATATATGTGTTATACGAGTGAACAGAAGTGGCTGCCTGTTCTGCTGTAAAATACCACTGAAACACATGTTGCTTGGTATGGTTTTAAATCAGCTGCAGGCCTGTAAGATTAAAGGCCCTGTATTAATGAAAAGCAAATAGACAAAGACAAGTAAAGGAGGACATAAGTGAGTCTGACAATGCTTGGCTTCAGCACAGTCAATGACATCATGTCATTTGGTGACCTGATGTGCAAGTGTGCTGTATGTCCTATAATGCTCTGTTTCACAAAAGCTAATGGTGCTAATTTCCATGTACATGCACAGTTAAAAGAGATAAGGCTATTCAAAACCATGAGGCCTGTAAAAGGGTAGATCAAATCATCACATTTTATCATGGCTGGTGCAATGATTATAGCCTTATTAAGCTATATTTTTGATATCTACATTGAATCAAATGACTATGTGTAATGTAAAAGGGTCACTAGTAGTTTCGCACACCTCTCAGAATAAATGCCCAACTCTATATCATGGCACAGTTTAGCAGCTTTTAGCCTCTTTTGGCTCATTGTTTGGTTCCCCAGCTGCACATAGCTTTAAATGTTGAGTTGGCTCTCACCAACCTTTCATATAAAACCACAGCCAGTTATTTCTAGCAAACAATCTTAGGCGCCACTAGCACCAAATGGGGAGACAAAGTAAATAAGTGGCTGGCTCAAACAAGCTAAAGAGAAATGAATATTGGATTTGATATGTATGTGACCAAAAACACATCTCCATTGAATTGATAGAGTTGATCTGGGTCTGCTGTGTGTGTGTGTGTGTGTGTGTGTGTGTGTGTGTGTGTGTGTGTGTGTGTGTGTGGGTGTGGGTGTGTGGGTGTGTGTGTGCATAAGCAGTGTTCTGCTAGCATTCTGTTAGCATTAACAGCTGTTTACTTCAGTCTAGAAGCAACGTTGCCAGCAAACTAACGTCATTTCTGTCATCACCAAGAGCAGTCTCCAGCGGTGGAAAGCAATGCCCATGTTAACTCTTGCTGACTCTATTTCTATCATTTTTTTTCTTCTTCTGAAGTTTGCATGCTAACCAGCTAGACCCTGGGCCGATAGTGAATCACTGTAGCCTTCGTTCAGCATGAGAGGATGAAGTAACACTGCTCTGAGGGTGTTTTCTAACCTCTTGTGTTGTAAACACATCAATAGCTGAAGCTATTGGCAAGCGACCATTATCACCACCACCTCCACCACCCACTCCCTGCAAGAAACCATGTTCGGCGGCAGAGAAAACTTAGGCTACATATAGCACCTTTAAGTTGTTTTTGGTTGCCAGTGTTGACCTTCCTCCTCTCTACAGCATGCTCCTTGGTTGACCAGCTGCCTATGTGTGGACTGGTGGGTTTTGTGATCAGCAGGAAGACAGCAGTGTTATGACTTGTTCAAATGTAGCCCCTGGTTGAGCTGTGATGTGATGATGGAACCCCCTGTCCCCTCTGCTGCTGTCCATGATCTGATCACACTGCTGGACATCTTAAAGGATGAATACAATGCTTCCCCACCAAGCCATCTGAACCATGCCACAACTATAATTTTCTCTGAATTTCCTTCATATTGTCTTTCTGTTGCTTTTCCTGTTACCCAGGGTTCAGAGCTCAGCGGCTGGTCTCTGGGTCGATGGAGCAATGATGGAATAGACATTCACCATAACTTCGCCGATCTCAACACCATACTGTGGGAAGCCGAGGCCAAGAAGTGGATCCCTCGCAAAATGTTCAACCACCATGTGCCCATCCCAGAGTGGTACCAGTCCAGAAATGCCTCTGTGAGTCTGACTGATTCAGTTAGATAAAATGTTGTGTTATATATTAAACTCATTTAATGTGTATATTTCAACATCCCTGCAAGTAAAGGCAGGCAATTTTAAGACTATGGTTTACAGAAATGCCACATTGACCTTTTGTGTTATAGGCCACTCCAAAGTCCTACTCACAGCTTTCATTGTTTACAATATGAAGTAACACCATCAAATTTTTATCTTCCTGCTGCATCTTTAATAAAATGTTTTCCGATTAATTTCTATACTAATTGTCACCTATAGGTCACAAATTATGACCACGTCCTGCCCCTTCCAGTTAAAAAACAAATCTCACAGTGAAGACAGTCCGCCTCTTGAAAAGGGTAAAACAGCAATGTGGGCATATCAGCGCTGTCTATTTTGGGCGAAGCGGATGCATTTGCTATTTGTGACGAAGAGGCTGTGAGCTAAAATATAACCGGCGATCTATTAAAAGCTCATCCTCACGAGTGTTTGGATGTTGTGTTACTGTGAGCCATGAGTGAGTCACACATAGCCTCCAGAATAGCTGCAGCAGCTGCAGAGCTGGGATCCCCATCTGTGCTCAGGAAGCTGTGAAAACTGTCCTCGCTCGCCTCACCGACCGGCCCAACCAGTGCTTCAAGATAGCAGGGCTAGTTTAAATATATTCCCCCAACAACAGACACAATTTGATTAATTTCCTGATTGTGACATGCAAATACAAGCCACTGGAACCCACGTGACATTTGTTCACTTTTCAGAATAAATATTAGTAAAATTAGTTTACAGCATGGGAGTGTGTGAACAGCCTTTTTGATGACTTTATCACTCCCGCTTGAAAGCACATTGCGGTGAAATTGTTTTCAGCCTGAGGGAGTTCATTTAGCAATCACGGTACTTAGGTGATCGGATGAATTACATTATCCTCCGCTCTCCTGTGTCCCCCCACTGTAGGTTGCCGTGGAGACACGGGCTCTGATAGCATGGATGGAGAAGATGCCCTTTGTGCTGGGCGGTAACCTCCAGGGAGGGGAGCTGGTGGTGACCTTCCCATACGACAAAACTCGCTCCCAGGGGGTGAGCAGGGAGCAGACCCCTACCCCGGATGACCACGTCTTCCGCTGGCTGGCCTTCTCCTACGCATCCACCCACCGCCTGATGACTGATGCCAACCGACGGGTCTGCCACACAGAAGACTTTGCCAAGGAGGACGGCACCGTCAACGGAGCGTCCTGGCACACTGCGGCTGGCAGTTAGTGTCCATAGCAGTTTTCTCACTGAGCCTAACACTGTGTTATGCAGGATTTCTCTGCTCAGCTCTGAGCCTTTGAGCTGTAGCTTTGTTTAGCACCCACATCTGCATATTCAGTACTGAACCCCTTTGGCTGCCTCAGCGCCTCTAGGTTTTGGCTCAAAGTATCATGTAAGAATTCAAAGGCAAACAAACAAAGACAGGCAAAAGTGAGAGGGCTTTAGACCCCATTTCACTCTTAATTATCGCCGCAAATTCTGGCTATTGACCTGACAAAATGCTGACCTAGGTTGATGCTGCCCTGTACACAAATACGTTTGGTCTTTCTTGGCAGGTATGAATGATTTCAGCTACTTGCACACCAACTGCTTTGAGTTGTCGATGTATGTGGGTTGTGACAAATTCCCTCATGAGAGCGAACTGCCTGAGGAGTGGGAGAACAATCGCGAGTCTCTTCTCGTCTTCATGGAGCAGGTACAGAGGCAAAGTAGCCCCCGCAGCTCACACATACACACACACACACACACGCACACACACAAGGAAACCTGAGCACAATCAAACACGCCACACATACACATGCTTTTTATATTATTATTTTGGAGTTATTTCAGGGATATGGTTGTCCGCATTCATTTGTTTCTGTAATTCTTCTCTCCCTAGTGCTCACTTAAAAGTCCCGTACTGATACCATACGAGCTGATCACATACTCTATACACAGTGAAGAATAGTTTAACTGTCAGACACCTAAATTGATGCCTCTCTGAAATTTGCAGAAAAGGCCAACAGGAAACCACTGGATCCTCTGAACGACACCGAGGCCAAAGCAAAAAAGAAATTCCAGATTTTATTAACTGATTTCATTAAATAACTGAGCAGTTCACACTGTATTATAAGATACTGAGGGTTGCAAAGGTCCCGTCCTCCAAATTCAGGCGAAACAAGGCTGCATTCTCAGCTGCACTTTGAGAAGAAATTCGACAGACTTGTCGGCCTGTTATGTTGTATTCTGTCTGGTGATGTGGACTTCAGAGGAGCCAGCCCCCCTGCTGGGGCCAGCCTTTATTGAAATATTGATGCTGGATGAGGAGCAAAAAATATTACAACATGTTAAACTGTTCCGTTAAACTGAAGATCAAACACTGTGCGTCATACATTATACATCACATCATCATTATCCTGTAATATACATTGTATTAAATTATGCAGGAGATGTTGATGGGGTAAACTTAGGGCAGGATTCACACATGGCTGCATGGGCCGTGCTTTTCATATGCAGGTGCATCGTGGGATCAAAGGTGTAGTGAGGGACCTGCAAGGTCGCGGAATAGCTAACGCCATCGTCTCGGTGGAGGGCATCGGCCACGATGTTCGCACAGGTAAGATATCGCATTTCACCTGACTTTTATATATAATTTCAGCTATTGTTCATTTGAGCAAGCCACCATTACAAAACAAACACCTCAGAAATGTGTTCAGTTCAAGTTTGTCTGGATACGAGCAGCTGCCATTGTGTTTTTTGCAGCATGTGGATGTGTTTTCCCTTCATCCCTGAATTTTTATGTGAGTGAGTAAGCTCAGATTTTGCAGTCAAAGCAGCAGCAGCTATACCTCAGGGTGCACTGACTCAACTGTCTCTACACTTCAGCTTATTCCTCAGGAATGAGTCACTCTTACAGTAAGTTAGTCTTCCGGTGTAAAGATGGAACAAAAAAAAAATACAAACAAAAGCAGCTGATGTATTTGAGTTGGAGTCTGACTCAATTCACAGTCATAACCAGTGTTGTCGAGGCCCTCTGCTCTGAATTTGACTATCGATTTGTGCGTCCTCAAGGCAATCTCTGCTGATGCCTAAAAAATGCAGCCTTCAAAGCCAAAGTAGTTTTGTACTTAGAGCGTGAAATCGAATGTCCAAAAGGACATTAGCCATTATTATTCCTGGAACTAAGTATAAGTCACCGCTTCCTCTCAGAAACCCTGCTATTCTCAGTTGCAGTCGGGATAGATTTTTAGGCTATTTATTTAGAAGAGTGTACCTTTTCATCTGCTTTGAATTTGCTTTGGAACAGTATAAAGATTTATAAACCGAAAGCAGTCGTCCTTTCGTCAGGATGAATCGACCTTAGATCACTGAGAAGGCAGGACAGACAGACAGCCTGGGAGCTACTGATGCACATCAACGAAAGATGTTTTGCCAAACAAAGAATTCATTAGCTCATTAGCATTTTATAGTGATGCATATCAGGAAACAATTAGATTCCCTTCTGCCATCTCAATGTGAGTAATGTGAGCGCAGATGTCCATGTGTAACTGTTTGGATCGGCTGTAGATCAGCAGCAGAAACAGACCTGCTATCATGTGTCATTTGTGTCTGTGACCGTTCAGACGTGTCAGGTGGGTGTTTGGATGACAGCAAGGAAGCAACACTGTCGTTTTTATGAGTGAGTCAACGGCTGAAAATACAGCACAAGAGCACTCGTGTTCCCAGGGTCACATAAAGGCAGCGTTCAGCACGGCATGGCCAAGAAAATCCAGCATGACAAAGCAGAGCTATTTTTAAAAAATCTAAATAGGAATACAGAACACCTCCTTTCCAGAAGTAGAACACAAAGAACTCTCTAACTTTTATTTGAGGTTTCAGATTAAAGCTTTTGTGATGCTTGCTTCTTTTTCTTTTTCTTTTTTTTTTGCCACTGCTTAGTAGGCTGTTCAAATTCAGCTTTCTAGGACAAGATTTGCATACTGCTGCTGTTGCACAAATAATGTGTAACTGTTACGCTTGTTGTGATTTAACTTAAATTTCATGTTAACATGGTCCTTTATACTGTAGGTAAAACCCTTGAGGGTGCAGCATCTGTAGTAAAGAGTTTCAGAGAGAAAAGTGGGTATTGCTAAAGGTTGTGCCAACAGTAATTAGATCAATTTTTGTTTTGTGTTTTTTTTATTGACCCTGAGAGCAGAAAAGATCAAACATGCTCACTGTATTTCTCTTATTACTGTGAAATTCGTCTTCTTTGGTTTATCAAGAGAAAAAATTAAGCTTGTTTCTTCTTTTTTTTCCACTTGAAGTCTCTATTAGAGGCTAAAAGTCCTGATGTCTCACCCTCTGCTGCTTTTGGACCCTCAATTTATGGAAGTGCTATGCTGAATTGCTGAAGTACCACTTTGATCATTTTTATGGGAAAAAAAAGTGAGTGGAAAAAAATGGGATGGACAGTGATTTGGTTTCATGTGATAAATTTTTTTTTTAAAAAAGCTGATGAACATACATTGTGATGAAGGAAAATGTTAGAAGTTCACAGAGTGAAAGGATAGCAAACATATCATCATCATATACAGCGAGACTGTATTATATGTAGGAGTCACTGTGAAGTCATGAAACCCAAAAAGGTACAAGGCCTTATAGGGATTATTAAAAGTATATTATACTGGACCTTTCATGAACAAAGGAGCATAGTTTTTACAGTATTAATGAATTTTTCCCTCCATCAAACTGAATCAGACTAAATCCATAACAAATGTCACCAATGGTTAATATTTCTTATGGTAGAAGAAGCTGGCTTAGTTAGATAGGACACTGTAGAAACAAAATACTTTAAATTAGCCAACGTGAAGCTACATTTTACATACATCAACAGTGAGCTGAAACTTTGATTCGAAATAATGCAATGTTAAGCTGCAATATGGTTATGGTTACTGGGCTAAAACTTTGATAAAGGGTCACGTCATCAGATGAACCATCCACCCCCCCCACCCCCCCTTTATTTAACTTCAGTTTTTCCCACTGCTGTGTATCAACAACATTTTGTGCTGCTGAAGATGTATAATAGGCTACTGCCATTAAACTGACATATTGTGTAAAAGAAGTTTAAAAACTCTAAATAATCTTTCCTGCTTTTTGGAGTTCAGTGCGGCAAACTGGAAAGGTTTGTTTGAGTATACAAAATATTTATTTGATGTGTGTGTGTGTGTGTGTGTGTGTGTGTGTGTGTGTGTGTGTGTGTGTGTGTGTGTGTGTGTGTTTTCAGCTGCTGATGGTGACTACTGGCGCTTGCTGAACCCCGGAGAGTACAGAGTGACAGCGAGGGCCGAAGGCTACAGCCTCAGCAGCAGGAAGTGCGAGGTGGGCTACGAGATTGGCGCCACCAGGTGCGACTTCATCATCGGCCGCACCAACCTGTCACGAATCAAAGAAATCATGGAAAAATTCAACAAGCAGCCCATCAGACTGCCCGTCAGGCAGCTCCAGGCTCGCAGGACCAGAGAAAGACGCACGGGAACATAATGACAGGATGAGGAAGCTGCAGGAAGAATTGAAAACAAACATCTGCTCTGATCTGACTGGGGTGAACTCCAGGCCTGGGTTTGGACCTTTGTCAGATTCCTCCACAGGACTGTCAGAGGAATTAGTGTCTGGAGATTGAAAATGTGGATTAATTTAAACGGGATGCTTTATTTGTTTTTTTGTTTAGTTTGGTTTTGTCCCTAGGCATAAGCTCTCTCTGCGGTGACTGTTGTCATCTCAGCTTTCCTTGATATCCACCGTAAATGTAAAAGTATTTCTTTCTATCAAGGGCTATGTTTGTTCAACCCCTTTTTTTTCAGTCTATAATACATCTACCATCACTCCTTGTGACACAAGTATAAATACTGAAATGGCAGATAAGAGAATATAATCAATTCAGAACTTATTTTTTTAAATAAAAGAAAATTGATATACAAACTATAGATAAGGAATATGTCTTAGCATCTAATTTTAGCCACTCTGAGAAATGGCCATGACTGTCATTATGTACATACTTATTAACTTATGTAACACATGTAAACCATTACAAAAGCTTTATTACCTGCACTTGTACAATTTTTGGTCCATTAAGAAACTTGTGGACACGGTGGCTTTTTGTGTGTCACTGATTAATTTTTTTATAAACTTTGCATTTGGCAAATCATTAAAGAATTAAAGACTATTAAAGACTATGTTTGCACAAACTGAACTTATTAAGCTGCTCATGTGGTAGAGTGTGGATTTGATTTTACTCATGGAAAACACCTTGAAAGTGTCTGCATAAGTGTGTGTAATGTCCAATCAATTACACAATAGGTCTTTTAATTTGAATTTCCAAAATTTTAGTTTCCTGGAAAGAACCATGTAATATTACTACTAATTATAGAGAAAGCAGTATTCAGTTGGTACACATTTACTGAATCTGTTCCAATTAATGGGGCAACCTAGTGCACAGGGCATCAGCTGGATATGTAAAAATGTGAATCACATAAATGTTGGAAATGTTAACGTTCATTTACAGGCAAGCATGCATGACAATATACTTCATCATATTCATATATAATCATTTAGCAAATTTTTTTCGGAAATGACACACATATAAAATCAATCTGTAACAAAGTATTTTAGAGGACTTCACATCAGAAATGATAAAGAAAGTCAAAATGTTTGCAGTAATGAGTGATTTACCGAGATGATAATATCAAAATGATCTCCGATTTTACATTCGCTCCTGTTTTGATTGAACCTCCCTAATGGAAAATAAACACCATTACATTCCCATAACTTAGTTGTAATCACTGTGGTTAATTTTAAGCATCATCTCATTTGATTTCTGCAGCAGTGTGATCATATCGCAGGAGTGTCGGGGTGGAAAGGCGCTAATTATCAGAGCTCTGCTGGGGCTTTCACAGATCACTAGCTTATTCTGACAACAACACTGACCCTCCTTCTCTCTGGCCAGCATGCAATTAGAGGAAGACCTTAACCTCTTTTCTCCTCCTCCAAAGGTTATTGAATGGAGACTCACACACCTGTCATCATCTCAGAGCACTGGCGAGCATAAGACATATCAGAGGTTCTTAGTATTACCATGCTTCCTGCAGCTCTATACCAGAGTCGGTGACTTTGATTTGAAACAGAAAGAATCTGTACAGCATGTAAGTGGGATTTTACATATTGAAGGGGCCATCCGGGTGGTTTTTCAAGTTTTAATCTTTTAAATGCAAAATGAAAATAAACCGTTATTTTTGGTATTAAAGTTACTGTATCAGTGTATGGAGGTGGTACAATAGGCAACCTCACTGTTTGCATGCCTTACATAAAAAACTTGAATCTATTTCAGTCCTGTATAAACTGACAAACTACCAAGCTAGCAAGGAAGGAAGAAGAATAAGAGAACAGCTGGATGTGTGTAAAATGAAACAAGGTTAGTGAAATGTCTACCATATTTCTTGGCAATCCATCCAAATGTCAACCTGCTGGTGGCGCTACAGGAAAAGTCAAGAGATGATCAAAGTCGGTAGGATTCGGGGACTGGGCACCATGAATATCTGTGCAAAATTTCATGACAATCCATCCAATAGCTGATGAGATAACCTGATGAGAACTTGTAAGACAAACTTCTTCCCATATGGACAGCAGACGATCCCTTTGAGTGATAGTGGGTGTGGATCAGGGTGGGATGGGGGGAGGGTGGTTGCACGGTGTGCAGGGTGTGCAGTGTAGCCGCTGTGGCCTACAGCTGTGATACCGTGCAGATGTGTGGGAAGACACAGGCACCAGCTGACCTTGCCAACAGTTGAAAGGCCAACGCTTCTTCAGAAGTCCGTCCAGCCTTTGAAGTGTTAGAGTGCCGCCCTGGATATCACAGGAGTGAGTCGCCATGCAGGATTGGTAAACCAGCTCTTAACCTCTCTTCCCTCCGCTACTCCAGAGCCCCGGAGACAGATTAGACTCTCTGTGGGCTCAATGCACATCAAAGATGACAACCAGATCAGCAAAGAGGAGGACCGTGGTTAGAAAAATTTGTTAAAGATAAGTTAAGATGTATTATTTACTTCGATCCCATATGTGCAAAAGACATAAATATTTAAGTGTGGTTTGATGTACTTGTTTTGATTAAACCTCAGGGAAATTCCACTTTCATGCAATGTGGCTTAACTGGGCTTATTTTCATACTTTTGACCATACATGAATACCAATGATGATGCCAGATGGAAATGTTAAGGGATCAACTGAGTCAGCAGGATTCATCCTCTGGGCACAATGAATGCACTGTCATGGCGAAAAGTCAGGGTGATCACTTAAGTCATTAAAAGTCATCCACCAGGGAACATTGATGTCTGTATATAATTTAACTGCAACCTATTCAATGAATGTTGAGATGTTGTTCAGCCTGGACCAGGCTAGAGAGTTGAGCTTACCACTGCCAGAGCCAAACTGCTAACGTGGCTTCAAATAAGAGCCAGGCTGTAATAAAGCAGAATAATCCTTTAATGTGTGTGAACCGAATTAAAAAGTCAAACTGTAAGTAAGACTGTAAATAAGTTTTTGAAACAAGTTGAATACATTGTTAACAGATGAAATAATATAACACATTGACCCCATTTGCAAGTACGAGTCTTTTTCTTAAGATCAATATTTACTTGCCGTGTGAATCTCTCTGGTGTTTAATGAAACACATTATCAATCGTTAACCAAACTCAAACCGTCAGGGCACAGATCAGTAGTGTGCGTGTGTGTGTGTGCGTGTGTGTGTGTGTGTAGTAGGAGTGAGTAAAGCTTTGGTGTTGTGTGGGAGGCTGCCAGGAGTAAAAGGAGAGAGGGGACTGCCCAGTGAAAAAGCCACAGTGCAGATGTTAGCCTACAGGTTTTGTTAACGAGCAAACTAACTCCACACACACCAGCAGCAGAGCACACAGGACAGACGTATACTCACATACAGCTGGTACACGCAGCAGCTCTAGGTTTAGGAAAATGGGATAATGGGAGGTTTTTTGGATATTTAGTTTTAAAATTGTGACAGTGCCTGTTATTGATTATTTTTGTTACATTTGCACAATACATAGCAACTAAACATAGAAACACATAAAAGATAGATAGAAGATCAAATACATTCATTGCCAAACATCCAAATGTATTCAAGGTCTTGCACACTCACACAGGTGTTTGCACTTATAGCTGATTAACCATCTGCTCAGGTTGAAGCTGGGTGGAGCTATGCTGGGAACTACATGAGATGGGCGGTTTTGTGCTACATAGGAGTGATTAGAAGCGATTAGAAGCGAAATTCTTTTTGCGACATGTAACCCCCATAAACTGAACAGAAAAATCACAGAAGACTCAAGTGTTTCACTCTGAAGTTTAGATCTTTGTTTTATTTTTTTCATACTCATCATCTGGTTGAAAGTAGTGGATCTGTTTTAAGTGTAGATCTAACTGATGAAAAAAACATGAACAACTATATTCAGTTGTGCTTTATTTTACAAGTGCATTATTTTCAAATAAGTTCTTGAAAGTTTCCTGCGAAGAACAGTTCAGTTTGGTCATAAATTTAACAGTTTAATTAAGTGGTAGATTTATGTTGCAGTTCTACCAAAAGTCCAAGAGGTGGCGCATAGCACGTTCATGGAGAGTTGACGTCAGGAGAGGGGAAGGGAGGGGGAGAGAGCGGAGTCTAGTACATGCGCAGTCCGAGCAGCGTTAATTAAAAGTTATGTCTCTTAATTACAATGTTGAGGTTATCCAGCAGAGAGTTGCCTTGTTCCGAGAACTGTTGTGTTACCAGAGGATCCAAGAGGACCACGTTCATGTGTCTTTTATGACTGTTCTCTGGTGAGTGTGAGTCACTTTTTCAGTGCTAGCTTAAAAGCGATGCTAGCCTCATGCTAAATTTATGATGAAAAAAAACAACGTGTTGTGGTTGATAAAAAAAAAAAAAGATGTGTGGTTTTTGTGTTGTGACATATTGCTTACATAAACTGTCTTGTGAAATGTATTTTCTAGTCAGTCATGTTCTATTTTGTGAACATTTGAGTGAGCCATAAGCTTAAAAAAGGTTAAAAGAAAACCATGAGATATTTAAGCAGCCTCTTACCTACGACCGAATCACAGCCGTGCTGATATGCAGTACAACATCACAACCCTGAATGTGATATTGCTTTTATACAACAGTTCTACAAGCGCCATATTAGTAATAAGCAACAACAGATTATGATTAGTTTATGTATTTCATCATTTGTTTGGCGCCAACACAAATAGTTCCACAACTGAACTGGTACTGGACATTTTCCTGACATGCACACTAGCTTGTTACCTCAGGTGTGTGCTGAGGTATCCAGGCTTTTTTCCTTCCCTTCTTCCTTTCTGACAGTTACATAATTTATGTTAATCTTTGCAAAATTACAATCTAAGACAGATAACGACTGTTAATGTAATCCTAATTAACTGCCAATAAAACACCTGTAAAGCAGAGTGATACATGTAGTTGAAAGTCCCAGTGCTGTTGTACTCTATATCAGCACCCATTTGGTCAGAAGTAACTGTTGTAAAATGGTATTCATCTGCATACTATAAAAAAGAATTTGACATTAACTGAAGTTAAAATGTATGGTATGCAGGTTGTTTTGTTTTTTTTAATGGTCGATTTCTGAACGAGGATGACTGCAGGAGTTTCAACAAGCGGGACCCCCGACCACCACTGTGGCTGCACATAAAGAAGTTCAGGAGCAACTCCATGGATTTGGATACACCAGCTTCTCCACTGGGATACCAGGTAAGATCTAATATAATAGAAACAAAGGGTGCCCTAACTGAACTAAAAAGAAAAAGACTCATAGTCGAATTACTACAAAAACTGAAAATTTCTCTTGAGGAAGGATACAACTATACAACGGAAGAGGAAATAAATAAGGACTAAAAAAAAGGGTTATACATTGAACTCAGTAATTTGAATACCCGGGTTAAAAAGTGTAATCATTTTGTTTTTTATATTAATGTGTCAAACAGAGCTCTGAACAGAGGGATGTTTTGAGTTAATTTGTTTTATTTTAAAGGCCTTGCTTTTTTATTAAGCTCATATTCACATGAGTGCTGTTTTTTAATTCTGTGAGTATAAACAAATGCTGCAGTGGTTGTGTTTTACTTATCATCCTCCTCATAGAGCCTAAATATTAGATATTG